ATTCTAGGCATTTTACATACGTGAATTCCTCTAACTCACAGCAACCCTTGTGGCAGAGTTACTCATTATCCCCATTTTACAAAAGAGGAATTCATGGCATAGAAAAATTAAGTGACATACCAAGGTAACAGCAATGTACTTGGCAGAACCTGAATGGTAGATTCAGTAAATTAGATTTGGTTCTTAGAGATTTTCTATTCAAACCTCCCACTGAAAGAAGGGATTTCTTTCTTTAACATACCTGGTTCTGTGATACTTGTAGGAGCATTGTGTGGATAGAGCATCACCACTTGAAAGAATAAAACATTCTAGTATGGGCTAGTCTCACTGCCATACATTTCTTCCCTGCACTGAATTATAATCTTGTATCTTTGATTCACTGGTCTTAATAATAACAGAAAATAAGCCCATCCTTCTGACAGCTATCAAAGTATGTGAAGATTTTCATGATGTCACTCCCCACCACCCTCAATACCAATTGGAGACCTCAACTCCATACTTTAGGTAACACGGTAGTTAGCATATCAATAAGGAAATGGACCTACTGGAGATATATAGAACACTCCACCAAACAATAGCAGAATTCATTCTTCTCAAGTGAATGTGGAATGTATTCCTATTCCTATGGAACCTATCCTGTTCTTCAGGGCAGACCTTATGTTAGGCCACAAAAATAGTTGATAATTCTCAAAAGATGGACTTCACATGAAGTATCTTCTCTTACCACAATAAAATGAAGCCAGAGATTAAAAAAAAAGCGGGGGGGGGGGAGAAGGAAAACTGGACATTTCACAAATATGTGGAAATTACACAGTAGACTTTTAACCAGTAGGTGAAAGAAGAAATAAAAAGGATATTAGAAAATAATTTGAGAAAAATGGCATTGAAAACACAACATACCAAAACTCATGGGATGGAGTGAAAGCAGTGATCAGAGGGAAATAATTGTTGTAAATGCCTACATTAAAAAAGAAGAAAGATCTGGGGTGCCTGGGTGGCTCAGTCGGTTTAGCATCTGCCTTTGGTTTGGGTCATGATCTCCAGGTCCTGGGGTCAGGCCCTGAGTTGGGCTTCCTGCCACTCGGCAGGGAGTCTGCTTCTCCCTCTTCCTCTGCCCCTCTCCACAGCTCATGCTCTCTTTCTCATTCTCTCTCTCTCTCAAATAAAATCTTTAAAAAAATCTCAAATCAGGGGGTGCCTGGGTGGTTCAGTGGGTTAAAGCCTTTGCCTTCGGCTCAGGTCATGATCCCAGAGTCCTGGGATCAAGCCCCGCATCTGCTCAGAGGGGAGCCTGCTTCCTCCTCTCTCTGCCTGCTTCTCTGCCTACTTGTGATCTCCATCTGTCAATTAAATAAATAAAATCTTTAAAAAAAAAATCTCAAATCAGTAACCTAACTTACATTTCAAGGAACTAGAAAAAAGTAAATTATGTAATGAACTCAGTGCTTAATGGAGCTTGGAATACAATAGGGACTTAATGTTTGTATCTCGCTGTTAGAAGGTGGAGGACGGTCAGGAATGTATCCTCCAGACTGAGAAGGCACTTGAATACTGTAAAACGAAGAAGGCTGTTCTATACCATTTATACAGTTTTATTCAGTGTCACCTACTGACAGGGTATTGGGACAGCAGGTGGACAGAGGATCCAGGGTACTATACCCCCATTCCCCACCCAGCTTGGATCTCAGCCCACAACTTTTATAGTGCAAGGGGTATGATGGTGTGGTCACAAGGTGGTTATCTATAGTGAGGCCATCTGTGTCCTAGAAGATCTGTACTAGTTATCTAAAGTGGTGCCACCTGTGTGCTAGAGCAGGCTGTCTACTAGTTATGTAAAGTGGTGTCATTTCTGCACTGAGGGGAGAACAAGATGCAGGGCCAAAAATGGAGCCAGTGTTGTCACAATCCTATACTCACATACACACTGCTAAAACTAATCATTGAAAACATTTTTAAAATGAGTGTAGGATACTATTTACAGTATTCTTTCCATTTCTGTAGTTTGCTTTGATGGATTATGGTACATATGGGTTTTTAAAACCCATTTTTAAAAATGAGATATTACAGGGGCACCTGGCTGACTCAGTTGGTGGAGCCTGCGACTCTAGATCTCACGGTTGCTTCGTTCAGCCCCACATTGGGTACAAATTGTTAGGGTTGTTAGTTTCAGCCCCATATTGGGTACAAATCTAGAAGTAGATAAAGTTATTACACATATACTGTGAATTTCACCCATTTAAAATGTACAATCCAGTGTGTTTTAGTATATTCATCAAGTTGTGTCTTCATCACAATTAATTTAAGAACATATTTATAACTCTAAAAAGAAACTCCATCAGCAGTCACTCACTCATTTTAGGTGACCACTAATCTTAATTCTGTCTGCATGGATTTGTCTTTTCTGGATGTTTAATGTAAATGGAATCATGCAATATGTGGCCTTTTATGTGTGTCTTCTTTTATGTAGCATAATGTTTTCAAGGCTCATTTCTGTTGTCATATATCAGTCTCCATTCCTTTTTATTGCTGAATAATCTTCCATTGTATGAATATACCACGTTTATTTTTATTGTTTTTTAAAGATTTTATTTATTTATTTGGCAGACAGAGATCAGAAGTAGGCAGAGAGGCAGGCAGAGAGAGAGGAGGAAGCAGGCTCCCTGCTGAGCAGAGAGCCTGATGCAGGGCTCGATCCCAGGACCCTGAGATCATGACCTGAGCCGAAGGCAGAGGCTTAACCCACTGAGCCACCCAGGTGCCCTGAATATACCACATTTTGATTATACACTCATCAGCTGATGAACATTTGGATTGAGTCTACTTTTTTGGCCATTAGGAGTGAGACTGCTGTGAACGTTCATGTACAAGTTTTTGTTTAGATACTTGTTTTTATTTTCTTAGTAACTACTATGATTGGAATTGCTAGTTTATCTGGTAACTCTATGTTTAACTACTAGACTGCTTCTCAAAATGGTTGCACTGTTTTACTTTCCAGTGTATGAAGGTTCCAATTTCTGCACAGTCTTGCCATTATTAGTATCTTTTTTATTTTAGCTGTCCTTGTGGCTGGGCAGTGTCTTATTGTGGTTTTGATTTGACCTTCCCTAAGGACTAATTATGTTGAACTTTTATGTGCTTATTGGCCATTTGCATATCTTCTTTGCAGAAATGTCTATTCAGATCTTATGCCTATTTTTTAACTGGTTTATTTTTCTGTTTGTTGCATTGTGTGAGTTCTTTATATATTCTGTATATAATTCCTTTATTAGATATGTGATTTACAAATATTTTTTCTTATTTTATGGATTTTTCTTTTTACTTTCTAGATGATGTCCTATGACACAAAAGTTTTTAATTTTGATGAAGTCCAATTTATTTTTTCTTTGGCTGCTTTACACTTATGGTATCATATCTACAAAATCATTACATAATCCAAGATCACCAAGATTTATGCTTATTCTTTTAAGTTTTAACTCATTTTTAAAAAATCTTTGATCCATATTGAGTTTTAATATAATGTGAGGTGGGGATACAACATTATTGTTTTGCATGTGGACATCCAGTTGTCCTGACACTGTCTGTTGAAATACTATTCTTTTCTCCATTGAATTATCTCAGAGCACTTGTCCAAAATTGATTGCTTGTAAATATAAGGGTTTATTTCTGGATTGTTCTGTTCCATTGATCTATATTTCTATCCTATTCCAGTACCATGATGTTTTAATTACAGTAGCTTTGTAGTAAGTTTTGAAATCAGGAAATGTGAGTCCTCCAACTTTGTTTCCCTTTTCAAGATTATTTTGGCTCTTTTGGGACTCTTGCATTTCCATATGAGTTTTAGGATCAACTCTTCAATTTTTTTTTTTTTAAGATTTTATTTACTTGACACAGAAAGAGAGCACAAGCAGGGGAAGCAGCTAACAGAGGGAGAGGGAGAAGCAGGCTCCTCCCTGAGCAGGGAGCCCAGTGCAGGGCTCAATCCCAGGACCCTGGGATCATGACCCGAGTCGAAGGCAGATGCTTAACTGACTGAGCCACCCAGCTGCCTCTCAAATCTACAATTAAAAAAGAAAAAAAGACAGCTGGGATTTTGATAGAGATTTCATTAAATCTGTGGACCAGTTTGAGAACTGTTGCTAACTTAACACTCTTAAATCTTTGAATGTGTGAATGTGAAATTTGTTTCAATTTCTTTTCTTTAATTTCTCTCAACAGAGTTTTTTGTGTGGGTTTTCAGTATATGTCTTGCATTTCTTTAAATCATTCCTAAATGTTTTATTCTTTTTGATGCTGTTGTAATTTATTTATTTGTATTAAAGAGGGAGAGAATGTGAGTGAGGGGAGGGGCAGAAGGAGAGGGAGAGAGAGAATCTCCAAGCAGACTTCCCAGTGCACAACGTGGAGCCTGATACAGAGCTTGATCCCAGGACTCTGAGCTCATGATCTGAGCCAAAATCACGAGATGGTTGTTCAGCTGACTGACCCACCCAAGCACCCCATAAATGAGATTGTTTTAATTTCATTTTCAGGTGGTGCATTGCTAATGAACAGAAAGACAATTTGTGTATAAATGTATTACATATTTGTATATTGTATTGCTAAACTTGTTGATTACTTCTAATGTGTGTGTGTGTGTGTGTGTGTGTGTGTGTGTGTGTGTGTGTGGTTTTCTTAGAATTTTCTATATATAGGATCAAGTTACCTGTAAATAGAAGTTGTTTACTTCTTCCCTTCCAGTTAGGATGCCTTTTATGTATTGTTCTGTCCTAATAGGCTTGTCTAGAACTTCTAATACAATGTAGCATAGAAGTCACTGTGTTGCATTTTTATGAAGTGGTGAGGGGGTATAAACTCTTTTTATATCCATTAATATTGAAGGATGATGGCTTCATGAAATTAGTTATCATATATGTAGGACAGTAATTGGGGCTGTTATGACCATGTAACTTTTTTTTCATTGGGGAACACTTTAACAATGTCCTTGTTTTTTTTTCTTTCAGGTTTTCTCAAATAATGACGAAGGCCTTATTAACAAAAAGTTACCCAAAGAACTTCTGTTAAGGTAAATGTAGATAAACTTTAGTGAACTCAGATTTGATTCAGTCATCAAGTTCCAAGACAATCTTCTTTCTCACTATGAGTCCATAGCATAGAAAAACAGACAGAATTAGCCTAACTGACTTTTTGTTTTTGTTTTATAGAATGCTGTTCAGCTTGTTGTTAAATTTTACTTGGTCTAATCCAGAATGTACTAAGTATGTACATAGCATTGGTCTGGATTCTTTTTGTAATGTGGTAAGTATTGTAATAATCTTCAGTAGGTGCCATTGTTTTGGTATCAGTAGATATTCTCAATGTAGTCAGTAACATGAGGAGTGATTACTAAGGTTGTGAGCTCCTGAAGTCCCAGACATGTAGATGTTTTCTGATAAACAAGTTTTTAAAATAAGTACAGCTATATGTTCTTACTGAACACTTAAAATGCTCAGTCCAAATATTGATATATTTTTATCCATCTTATGAGAATTATGTGCTAAGTGACAGTAAGTACTATAAAACATGGTTTTTGTCCTATATTTCTGGCATCACTGAATATGCAATAAATGGTGTTTTGCTTGTCATTTTACCAGATAAATCTATCAACCAACGTTTGTTGATCCTGAGGCACTGCAGTTTCCTTTAGTACTCTACAGTCATCAAAGAAATCTTATTTTAGTTTTGGATGTTCTGTTTTAATTGTTTACAAGTAATACATGTATACATGGTAACCTTTGAGTGGCATTTCCTAAACTCTTCTCATATCACTGATGTTCCTCAAAACAAAACAAGTTTTATGATCAAAGAATGGGAATTACTGCGATAACAAAACCAATTTCTTTAGGGCCTTACTAGGCTAATACATGTGATGATACTCCCAGATGGATAATTGTGGCATTTCAACTTGCTTACCATGGAACTCTTTTAATATTCCATATTAATTCCATATTCTGTGGAAAAAATTCTGGGAAATGTTCACATAGAGTAAGTGATTGGCCAGATGACTCAATTCCCTTAGGTTCTTTCATTTTACTCAGTTAATTAAAAAGAAAATTATTTCACAACAGGATCAAATGAAAAATACAGCAATAATATTTTATTTTGATAAATACTTGTTTGGATGAAAGAATATTCTTTGGCATTTTAGACCCTTTTAAAGTTAAGGAAGTAGTAACAAGAAAGGAATGATATGTTTTTCATATAAACCTGGGAGCTCTTGATCAAGCAGTGAGCTGTTAGAGCCAGCATGGCTGTGTTAGGATGGGCAGGCTGTTACTATATAAATGGAGGGGATGCCATCCACAACAAATGACAAAATTCATGGTGTCCCTTGGAATTGTGCGGTGTTTAATTCCTGGTCTGAACTTTTTCTAGCATAGACATCAAGCTGTCATATGAACATGTCCTCCTCCATCCTCTGGAGAATCCACCAGCTTCAGGCTGACCCATTATTAGTCATTCAACACTTGGGTGTGATTAAACGCCACTCTTCCCATGAATACTACTCCTATCTGTGACTCAAAGCTGCTAACTTAATATTTTCCTCTTTGGTAGGGTTAGCTTTGACACTGTTCTCAGCCTTGGAATAGTTTCTATCTGCTGACAAAAAAGGCGGGGGAATTATATCACTTTCTGTGCTAGTGTGATTTATGAAATGTTATTTTAGAAGTTTTAGTTCTTTCAAAGATCCATGATGGACCCAGCTGTTATGAAATTCTCCAGTTACAGGTTTTGAATCATACCCCAAAGCTCATACAGAGATCAATTTTCAAAACGAATTGCCATTTGAGACCAAATGTTCATAACATGTCTATTCATAGGTTTGTATTCCCACTTCTGCTCTTATTTTGGAGTCTGTGAGGGGAATTTAAATTTTAAAGTACTGCTGCTACAGGTCTTCTCTGACTCGTGAGTCTCAAAATTAACTCTAGCCAACCGTGGTATTTTAATGTTTGTTGGCCTTTAAATCATTTCTGCCATTTTACTCTCAGACCTTATATTCTCAGTAATAGTATTTCTTCCCTTTCCTTTTGTTCCTTTTTGGGCAAAATTCTGAAGAAAGATTTGACCCAAGTTACCAAAGTAGCTGTCTTCATCATCCCTCATGGAGCTTAAGTCTTGATTATCTTGGTTATTTAAATGATGTCTTCATATTTTCAGTATGTCCTAGGCTTACATTTTTACTTCATATTGTAGACTTCTTTGTAACAGTGCAGACTTTGTATTCTTGTTGAATTCCTATTCACCCTCCCTCTTACTTCATCAATGGAAATGAATTCTTTGACCTTAAAATAATCTTACGTACTTGCAGCCAGCTTCTCTTGTGTCTGCTGTTTTGTTTTGTTTTTTAAGATTTTTTATTTATTTGTCAGAGAGAGAGAGAAAGAGCGCACAAGCAGGAGGAGTAGCAGGAAGAGGAAGAAGCAGGCTCCCCACTGAGCAAGGAGCCTGACGTGGGACTCTGTCCCAGGGCCCTGAGATCATGACCCAAGCCAAAGGCAGAGGCTTAAGTGACTAAGCCACCCAGGCGTCCCACCCATGTCTGCCTTTTTTTACTCCATCTGTTACCACCCTCTTAAATTCTCTACTAGCTTCCGCTACTGACCACATCAGGCAAATTCTTAGCTTCCCCTTTGGAACCATTAACAAGCACAACCTAGAATTACGTGTGTCTTTTCATCTCTTTATATCACTTTGAATCCACTCAGAAAAATCCATGAGGTGATTTTTCATCTGATCATCTTATTGTTAGTTTTAAGACTACCCAATATTGTTCACAGATTCCTTCTACCACCCCATCTTTAATTTGTTACTTAGCAAGTTTTTAGAATTTTGCTTTTTCTACCCAACTTTCATTCATAAATTAAGGGTACTCCAGTTCTCCTTCTCTACCCTTTATGCTGACAGAATTCAACAGCTTACAATTTTACTCCTCCTGGGGAGTCAGTTGTATAATGCTTATAACATTATAACGATTGTTATAACAATTATAACAATCTTTAATTTGTTGAAAGCTATATATCTATTAGTGAGTTGGGTTGTCCTTATATTCTGTCCTCACTGTTATTGTCTGTATTACTTTCAGAGCCAAAGTTGGTTGAGATTTCAGTTCTCCCCATTTACTGCTTGTATGACCTTAAAGTGACTTAACTCTTTGGACCATAATTTCCTATATCTACAAAATGGAGATGATAATAGTTCTTACTGAATGGGGTAGTTGCTAGCTCTTAGAGGGACTGGCATTTAATAAATGCTAAATAAATGTTAGCTTTTATTGTTAATATCAATTTTGGATGCCTGAATTACTTATTAAATGCTATGTGATAATGTAGTGAGTTTTACTGCAAACAACTGATAAAAGCAAGCTGTCCTGTTGTGGATCTCAGCATATGCTACTGCTAACAATTCATTTTATCACTCTGGACTGATGCAGTCTCAATGTAAATTGTACATTACCAAATGATAATTAAACTGATAACTACTAAGGCATAGGCAGGTTGGTGGTGGTGTATGTCAACTGGTAATTAGTTTGTATTATAAAAACTATAGCTTCTTGCAAAGAACCATTCTTCTTTTAAGAAAAGTAATCTTATGTGAATTGAGTACTGGTCTAAAGTTCAGACTATAAATTTTAATATTAAGTTTTTTACCTTAAGTTTTTATTTCTATTATGATTGCTTTCAGATGGTGATGATTAAATGAAATGTAAACATGTAAACTACCTCACAAAAAATAGGGGTTGCTACATGCAGTAAATATCTTAAAACATTCAGAGAAGATAAAGCTCTTGTTAGTTATAAATAATAAAGAAATCTCTTATTAGATACATTTTTAAAAACTGAGATCATTATTATTTAGGTCATTTTCTCTCCTTGTAAATTTATGTGGACACATGACAGAATTAAGGACTAATAGTGTTTGTTGGCTTGATGAAGGGAAGTTTGATTACCCTCAACAAGAGAGCTGAGCCTAATAATTCTGGGCAAATGAAATCAACTACACAATTACATACATTTGGCAGTTTTGCTAGTTTCCTAGGGAAAATTATAAGATAACTAGTGCACAGATGTTCAAAATTTTCCTTTTCTTAAGATCATAAACCAATTCCATGAGTGAAAATAATTGTGGTTATTGTTGCAGTCATTAAGTTACAACCCAGTGCCTATGTGTAATTGTGGGACCTTGGGGAGCAGTGCAGTGAAGGGCTCATTCCTGTTTCGGGCAGTATTGAGTGGGTGTTCTTGCCTGCTGGTTGGTTTCAGCATTCCATGGGTTTTTTTCAAGGACTGGTGCATCCACCTCCTGCTATCTGTGATGCCTTATATATATTCCAAGGCAGCTTAACAGGTAAGATGCTCTTTTGGGGATACATACTGCAAATTTAAGTTTAAGCAACTGAGCAGGTTTTTCCTTTTTGTTAAAAATTTTTTTCATTTGTGTGTTCATTTTTATTGCTTTTTACTTTGCATGATGCAATACATGGCTGAATTAGTGTGTGTTGAAATCAGATGCAGAAGCTTAAAGGCCCTTTCTTTTCATTACTTCTATATACTATTATGTACTGTTTTAGGGTTGGCATCTAAGTCCAAATCCTGGCACAAGCAAATTTTCCTTTGTCTAGGTTGAGGGTATAGTTACACATTAAAAGTCTGTTGATGCCTTTAGATATATACATATACATATACATATACATATACATATACATATACATATATATATATTTTTTTAAACTACATTGAGGTGGCATCAAACACCAGTAAAGCTCAACAGATAGGAATGATAGAGCTAGTACATTGTTTTCCAGAGCTTCATCCTGGGAAAGTTATGTTAGAGACCTATTAATTTAAAAACTCTGAATTCAGAAGATTGGTAAGTTTGACCCTATGAATAGTAAAATACATCCAGATATATATACTATACCACAGAAACATAGAGCACAGTGGTAGCCCAGTGATGGGCATTTCACCAGTTAGAATGCATATTATAAGCAGTGGCTACATTCTTCAATGCACAAATAAAATCCTC